ATGCACTTCATTTTGTTATTTTTTTGTTTAATCCACAAAAATAATTATAAATTGGGCTAACTTAGTTCTTCAAAATCTCACTCACTCTCTCTCTATCTTATTATTTTCTTGAATATATTGTTTCGCTTTTCTTTCACGATTTGTATCTCTAAATCTCAAACTTTTTTTTTCTTCTAATTCATCTGTTAATATTTATTGGAATTAGAGTTTACCATTTTCTTCTTCAAATTCAACTTGGTCTTTTGGGATCCCTGGTATACTTTGGGCCATCTGTAAATAGAAAATAAAGACTTAAATGTCGGATTTAACCCCACAGATTCTACTTTTCTACTCCTTTTTGCGATACACATCTGCAACGATCCGAAAGTTCAACCCTTTGATAGGTTGGGCCACCCATTCACCCCCTTCACCTTTCTAGGCCAGCTGGGATTTTACCGAATTCCTTTTGAACAATTGATTTATTTTTTTTTAAAAATTATAATACATTTTATAAATATGAAATAAAACTATAGGAGTTGCTTACATCGTGTTGATCTGTGACTAGCCTTGTAGAAATAAATAGCTATGCTCAATGTATTTTGCCATTAAGTTGATTGTCGCCCTTAGATATTTGATTGTAGCCACTCACTCTAAGGTGTGGCTGTTTATATCAATGTTGTCATCGGCGTGTGTGTTTCGATACACTATCATATATTTTGTCTTCGCTTCATTAAATTTATAATAATGCATTCAAGTTGTGTAAATGAAATATAAGAACAAGCTATGTTGAACTTAAATAAATAAATAATTACTTAGAAGACCTCCATTAATTTTACTGTGCTTTGTTACGTGTCCTACTTACGCTTGTCTTGTTTTGCTGATGAAAGCTCTAAGCGGAAACGTGTAAATCTTTTTTCATGTCTATTTATTTCACATTTTGCATACATTTACCTCAAGACCAGCTTTGCCTGATTCATTTTCAAGTTCCCTGAACACTTTAATTATATCATGTATGTTTCTGTTCAATAGTGCTATGTCGTCTACTTTGCCAGGTACTGCCATGGGGGAAATAAAGTTTTTCATGGTTGCCCTTATCTAATGCATGTCTGGAATTAGTTTGTAGGGGTTACACCTGTGTTGACATGCATGCTTCTATAAACCTTTCCCGGCGTGATATTGAACAGGAAACACGAAAGTGAATCTCTTTGTCTAAGTCCCTGATTAACTGGAAACTGTTTTCATTTAATATAATCACACAAATGACGTCATATCGCAAATAGACTATTTCTCCAAAGCTCTAAGTTTTTTTTAGTTTTCCTTAAATTTAATAACCATGCCTGACAAAACAGATAATACATTTTCCTTTCTTAAAAGTAAAATTAATAAATACTAATCATATCATTTGTGTGATTATTGAGAACAAATTAATTTGAATTTTATTTAGCAATATTAAAAACGCATTTAAAGACGCACTAATAACTAATGATGTCTGGGTTTTCCCGATAAATGTGATTACGGTGTAATGATTTTACCATGATTTTTTTTTCATAACTTTCAAACACATAAAATAGTTCCTTAGTTGATACTTTAAATGTATTTGTAATTTATAATAATACTATTTAAACTTTTACTAAAATAAAAGCGGATTTAAAATATTTTTGTTTAGATTTAAATTTTTTCGATTTCCGTAAAATAATACAAAAAACCTATGCTTGTTTGTAGGAATCTGAACCTACTTAAAATTATCTCCCTTTTGGCGTTATGTGAACCTAGCCCATTCTTATATATATATATAAAAATAGTTATGTTCTACCCTTTCATGGAAACATAATAAATTTTATTACTCAAAAAATATTATGTTCCTGCTTTTATTTTAGAAAAAGTTTAAGTATTGTTTATATAAAATACAAAGATTGTTAAGTGAAAACTAAGGAACTATTTTAAGCATTTAATGTGCGTTTGAAAATTATGAAGAAACAAAATTATATGAAAGAAATATTATCGAATAATTACACCTTAATCACATTAATCGGGAAAACCCAAACATCAGTATCTTTTAGTGCGTTTTAATGCATTTTGGTGCATTTTTAATGCGAAATAAAAATTAAAATTAATTTTAGTCTACATAAAGACGCAATAACGTCATTGCGCGAATTTCCCATTTTGGCATAAACTCAATTTTCTTTGATTTTATAACCGATCGTTACAAAACTGATAATGTATTTTCCTTTTATTTAAGGTAAGTTTACTCTATGATTGATTGTTCTTTTTTAATTGTTAAGAAAATCACAAAAAATTCTGCTTCTTATTTTTAACCTTTAATAAGATTTTACTTTTTTTAAATTCCAAAAATATAGTTTTATCATTAACGTAATAAAAACTTAAACTTTTAAATATAACTAGATGTCACCCGCCAAACACTGGCGTCAGCAATGCGGGAACTTCCCAGCTACTTAAGTTATTTGACAAAAACGTGAACTCAAATTACGCACATAAAATAATGCCAAATTTTCTACACCCCTCGACCCTCCCCCACCCCCCCCCTTTTTTTTTTTCTTGATACGTCACTGCACAATTTTTATTTCACGCCCATGAACTATATAAACATAGCCGACCTGCGGCTGAGCGAACGCTGCGAGCTTGGCTGGCAAGCGATGGTGGGCTTGGCTGACAAGCGAGGGGAGGGTTCGCCTGCGCTGCCGACTTGCTTGCTCTGGCATATCTATATATAGATAACATCTTGTTAGACTTATTTTTCCCTGGCGAATTATATATATGTAGATGTTAATAATAAAATGCCGTTTAAGACAATCAGTGCAGCGATACTCCATATCTAAATACCATTCACTAATCCCAGGCAGCACAAGATACGCCTAAATAAAATGAATGATTTTAATAAACATTTAGGATTAACAATAATTAGCCTTTTCTGGTATATACATATCGGAGGTATGAAATAGGATGTGTACATTTTTACATGGATTACCATATATTTAATCCTACAGTATTACATTTCTGAAAAAATAGATTTTACATTCTCTTTTTACATAAATGGGTATGTTCATTTTACACGAGGCAGCGCATGATACGTCCCAATACAAATAAACGATTTGCTGTTCAATTTGTGAAAAGTAAAGGGGATGTATATTTCAAAGAAAATAAACAATTTTTTTTAAAGAGTCACTTAAGTCTGTTATAGACGTGAAAAACGTTTGCGATATTCTTCTTTAGATAAAATAATTCTTTGTTTTACGATGTTCAGATCATTTATAATGAAGGCAACAAGATAACAGCGTTTTAATTTTTTTTTATGAAGATATCGAAATATCAAGTTCGTTTCAAATAAAATTTATATCAGAGATTTTTAAAAAAAAATTGGTAGTCAATTGAACGAAAAGGGATAAATCTAAAGTATTTCTTTGCGTAGAAATTCTCCCTCAATTAACGTTTTATTGACAAAATGGATTTAATTTGTGATAATTTAGATTTGGTATTTTAAGGTTATGTTTAAAGGGGGAGAAGTAGTTTAGGGGCGTGAAACGTAGAATTATAGGCTTATGAGGATAACAGATACATACTTCTCAAAACATAAAGATTTTAGAAACTTAAATATCATTACATAGATACTTCTGTTTAAAGTTAGGAATGGCCATGAGTTTGTGTAATAGTAGGTAGAAATTATGGCAAAGGACCTACCGATAACATGGAGTCATAAATTCTAGTACAAAAATAATAAAATAACCACAATTTTGATAAACCACTAGATACACAAAAGCACTCTTTATTAAAACTGTACAATGATTTTTTTTCCGTTTATCAATTTTTTAAAAATATGATTGCCCCTAACAGTGGATTTTTAATTGAATTTTTATTCTAAAACCTTTTCAGCGTAGTCATTAATTTTCGGTCTATTAAAAATAAAACTAAAAAAAACGAAAAATTAAGCAATAAAATATTAAAACCAAATGTCTAATAAATCTCGTTTACATGGAATTTGGGGCCCTGTCACTTTTAATCAATGTGTAAGCTTTATTTGTAAATATAATCTAACATTTAAACGACATTTTGAAAAAAGTCTATTACAGGCTTATTAAGTTATGGCAGTTTATCAATTCAATAAACTGTTATACCCTTTTTTTAAAAATTGCTATTTTAATAATCTCTTAGATACAGTGACTATAAAAATTATTCATATATATATATATTTAAGTTAGATTTTCAAATGTATACCATATAAATTAAAAGAGATAAAAGACTGTTTTACGTTTCCTGACTCCATCATAAAGTCAGGAATGTTAACCACGTCAATTTTGTTGCTATCTATTGCTTGGTTTTCGTGTTATTATTCAACATATAAAAAAAGATTTTCATAAGATTATAAATACTCATGAACTTATTTTGACGTGTCACTTTGTGTATTATAACTACCATTAAAGGGTATTAATACATCAAAACGATGACATCTTCAATTCCAAATTTTTTTTTTCAAATTATTTCAACGTACAATATTTCAACAACAAAAAATAATCTGAGATGTTTAACTCTAAAACTGTTTAGTAAAAACATTGCGAAAAAATATATATACGTTTGATCTTTATATTACCCAAATGTGTTTATCTTCTTAATGCCGAAAAACGAAACGTTGAACCTAAATTAAAATAGCGAAGACAAATAAATATATATTTTTACTATGAATGATTAAAACTAGTTTTTTTTTTTTTTTACCATTAAATATTTTGATGAAAATTTTGTAAAATAGATAACAAATAAAACAAAAATTATCATTAACTTATTTTTTAAATATTCTTCAAAATCTCATAACACAACAATAATTTATGCTTACTGGTATTTTTCTATCAATAAATCATGCTAGTATAAAAAAATCATTTTACTTACCCTTTCCATACTGCTGTTCTTCGTTAGTGTCACTGTAGGTTGTACTGATAAACTCTTCACAGACGCTCCTATTTTTTTCATTTCTTCCAAAATTTTAAGGTTTTTCTGTTCTAAAATCTGAGTTCTTTTTTCTAAGCCTTCAATAGATCTGACAGCATCATTGGCACACGATCTGACCGAGCTGATGTGTGTATTGACGACATCTTTTGACCCATTTATTATTTGTATTTCCTTTTCGAGTTTATCCAGTCTGTCATTGCCGTTTTCCTCCAATTGTTGAAGAGATGTTGAAAGAGCAGTTGTTTTATCTGACAGCTGGTTGATGTTACTTTGTAGACGTCTCTTGGAATTTACATTATTTTCTTGGGACATGTCCAGTTTTTGGTTCAAATCATGGTGTTGACTTGAGAAGTCTTTCAATTTTACGTCAGCATTTTCTTGTTTTACTTGAATATCTTGGATAGTTTCTTTAAGAGAAAAATATTCCCTTTCTAACAAGGATATTTTCCTTTTAATGCTGTCATATCCTTTCCAATCTAAAATCAGAGCGTTAAACGTATTTGTAATTAAACAGATTATGAGATTTTCGTATATCCCGGATATTTTTATAACTGTTCAAACGGGTGTTGTGTTTAACTTAGGTAAGACTTAAAAACACTTTATGGCTAGTAACGAACATTCGTTTTAATTTGGTAAATCGTAACAGCCCTAGTGTATTGTATAGTGTGTTGTGTTTAAGTTAGGTAAGACTTAAAAACTTTATAGCTAGCAAAGAGTGTATTGTTTTTAAGTTAGGTAAGACTGAACAACATTTTATTTCCAGTATTGTGTTTAAGTTAGACAAGAGAGAACAACATTTTATTTCCAGTGTTGTGTTTAAGTTAGGTAAGACTGAACAACATTATATTTCCAGTGTTGTGGTTAAGTTAGGTAAGACTGAACAAAATTTTATTTCCAGTGTTGTGTTTAAATTAGGGCCATGTTGACAACATTTTACGGCCATTAAAAACACGCAAGCTAAAATAAATTAATGAGTATAAATGTGGGAGTCTGTGAGATTTTATGTCCCAGAAACTTATGTCATTAGTTATTTTACACACAATACCGTTGCTTAAAAAAAAGAAACTAATATTATAAATAAATTTGAAAAATCGTTAACAAATATGTTTCAATTTATTTTGAACATAGGTCAACTCTTCCGGGGAAATGTAACACTTTAATTTTTATATGAAATGTTTTTCAGAAGTTTCAAGTAATATCAATATCTGCCTTATCAATACTTTCTTGAAATGGTTCATTTCGAAAAATAATAAAATATATTTTTTTCCTTGTGCTTTTGCAGCAAAGTAAAATGTTAATACCCATTTGTTTAATAGTCGATGTAATACAGTAAATAACATATTATTTATTACACAAACGTATTCCTTAATTTGTGTTAAATTTTTTTCGGGACATAATAAACACCCGTTTGTTCTTGCAAGCCTGGCTCGTTGCTGCACACGTTCTGCATAGCATTTGTGTTTTCTCCTTGTGAAGTGGTAATTGTCGCATCAGTTTCGACTTCATCATCGTCACCTTCAATGGTAACATATATTTTGGTGGGTGTTGAAGACCATTCATTTATTTAATCATTAAACTATTTCTTATTTAACAAATATTTTATTGACGTTCAACGCAAATATAATGATATTTAACAAAAATAATGGATGATAAATCACAAAATATAACTAAAATATTTTCTTTTCTTTTTATATTATGATTTCCAAACGGATAATTTGATCATGTGTTTAATCATTTAATATTCAAATTAATTTAATTTATAAACACATATCCTTAAAGCTGTGTATATTAACATAATACACATGCACTGAGATCTGTTTTATTTATCAAGATCCTTGAAAACTTCATTAACATTAAATATATTTTATCAATCAAATGTTTAATCTTAACCTTTTTAAACAGGTGTTAAATGTTTACATTTTGATATAAAAATTAACATATATTTTGAATTTCAACCTGTAAAGTATGAGGCATTTGACACGACGTGAGTAATAGCCTGCTGAATTGTGACGGACATTTTCTTAAAGCTGACCTGCGAACTTCTAGGTTTATTTTCCAATTCTTGCAGTTCTTTTTCAACCTGCCAAGAAACACAGACTTTTTAACAATTTTATTTCACGACATTGTGTTTAAATATTTTTTTCATGAAATCTTGAATGTATAATTTATTCTTGAAATCTTGTGAAAATATTATAGAAGTGTCCTTTAACATGCATAACATGCTCAACATTCATAACATGCATAATAACTATTTAATAACTTTTGATAAAGGCAATGTCATAGCCTGATATTTTACTGGTTTTAAACATTTGCAATTAGCCTAAAATATAAAACACATAGTATGAGGACAAAAGAGAAAAACGGATGAAAAATAACTAAGTCAACACCTCAGCTAAGTAAACCTCAAAATTATTCAGATCCCTAATGAAATAATTTCTAAGACATCATTTATTGAATTCGAAGAACTTGGGGTTATTAGTTAAACATTAATTCTTTCTTCTCTACTCCCCCCCCCCATTCTATTGTTTTGTGTTTTTTTCTTCAGGTTTTCCAATAATCATTGTTTTATATGTGTTATTTTTCAAATTGAACGCATTTCAAAAAATATTGCATTGAATGCATAACATGCTCAACATTCATAACATGCATAATAACTATTTAATAACTTTTGATAAAAGCAATGTCATAGCCTGATATTTTACTGGTTTTAAACATTTGCAATTAGCCTAAAATATAAACCACATAGTATGAGGACAAAAGAGAAAAACGGATGAAAAATAACTAAGTCAACACCTCAGCTAAGTAAACCTCAAAATTATTCAGATCCATAATGAAATAATTTCTAAGACATCATTTATTGAATTCGAAGAACTTGGGGTTATTAGTTAAACATTAATTCTTTCTTCTCTACTCCCCCCCCCCCATTCTATTGTTTTGTGTTTTTTTCTTCAGGTTTTCCAATAATCAGTGTTTTATATGTGTTATTTTTCAAATTGAACGCATTTCAAAAAATATTGCATTGAACCAGGTAACTAACATGAAAGAAACGGGAAAAATAACCAAGGAAGATATTAATAACACTGTAGGGTTCCAGCTAGTAGGTTGCGATTGGCTCCAACTGTTTGGCTGTCCCTTGATTTGATAAGATTCAGATAATGCTCTACTGATTTTGAGTGTAAGGTTTATTTCAGATACTCACTAGCCTGCTCGAGTCAAAGGTTGGTACATTAATTAGGCAAAGCTTTTACTCTTTCTTATGGTGAGCTTCAATGCAGACATATTTATTCTTTCATGTCTTCTTCTCTCTCATCTCTCTCTCTCTCTTTCATACCATCTCTGTCTCCCTTTATTTCTCTCTCTCTCTCTCATATCGACATACATTTCTTGTCTAATGCCCTTTCAAGAATGATCTGAAGAGGATGCGCAAAACAGTTGTAAAAAGGAGAAAATTGCAAACATTATTAACAAACAAAATATACTCACATTTTTAAAAAAAACTTCCACCACGTCACGCAGATGGTTGCTCTCTTCCCTAAGTGTTTCCAGCTGTTTTTTGAGAATCCTATTATATCTCTTGTCATCATGACGTTTATTTTCCATGCTATATATAATTAAGATAAAATGTTAATCATGTTTTTTTGAAATATTTGTAAAGACATTTAAAGAAACTACATACTAACAGGTGTCATAATAATAGTTGTGTACATTATTTTACAAATAAATCATTAAAAACGTAAAGTCATTTTTTTTAAAAACTCGATTTCTATTTTCTTTTAAGTTTCCTTTGTATTTTTATTTATAATATATATTTGAAAATATAGGAAATATTAATATAAATGTACATGTTATATTGTTATTTTTCCATTTTAATTATATTACACACTTCATTTTTTGTGTGTTTCCAATTTACTTTTAAAGCAATTAATGCCATTCTGTAATATACAGTTTAACAGCAGTAAAATGTAGTCTACTGATAAGAAGTGAAACTGAATTTTTTCGGAAACCTAACATTAGTAAGTACAAACTACTGAACTAAGTCTGTGATTATAAATTAGTGGACATTTAGTTTACATCAACCTATACATTTTTTTTTTACGCGACTTTCTGAAATTTATTGCAATTTTTTTGCATTTTCTCTATTATATCTTTGAACAAAAATCATTATTATGATTGATCTAAACAGTAACATGAAAACTGATATCTCTAGAGCCCAAGCCGTTTACATTATAAATATAAATTAACACTTTTTTTAAATCTTTTTTTAAAACGCCTTTTAGTTTATAAAATCGACTTACTTAACGATGCTAAAACCTGTTTGGGTTTCATTGTACCATATTTTAAGTTGACATTGCTAAAGTGACTTACAATGGAAACACAATTTGTCTATGTACAATTGGAAGCTCAACTATACTAGATCTCAATGTAAAATAACGAATAAATGAAACGCCGCTCACACAACTACATTTTTTCTTCTTAATTTACCATTTTTTTGGATCAATAAAATAATCTTATGTTATCTTAATGATATATGCCAACCGCACTGTCCAAACATTAATTTAAGATCACTATAAATAAATAGTGATTCATTAATGTAATTCTCATATATTAAAAACAAACAAACAAACAAAAGAAAGGAAAGGGGGGGGGGATCAAATACATACATTAATGTGAAACTATAGACATGTACTGCTAATAATTTAATTGCAACAAAAAATAAATATTATGGAAAGCACTTAAAATTTACTGTGTTAAGTAATGTTTAATGTAAAACTGCGTACATCATTTAATACAAACGGAAATTAATGTATATATATATATATATAGATAGATTTTAATAATCAAGTTTATCATTGATACAACATATACTTACATTAATAGAACTCACTCTTTAAATCTAAAAATATAATAATAATTTATGCATAGATCATTTTAAAAAGTGGAGTAAAAGGTGTTTGTCATTTGCATAGGTAATTGGCTAATTCTACGGGGTGTTTGTTTGGATTTTGTGATTTACCCTTTACATTTCTTTTAATCACAGCTCATAAATGAAACGTGGTTGAAAATATTTGTGTTAGTTCTAAAGGAAAAAAAAGTGTTTTAACATGGCTTTGGATACGTTTAAAGCCCATGTGTCAAACTCAATGCCCGTGGGGCAATACCGGCACTTCGAATAATTATATAATACCCGCGATCTCTTGATCGGTGTACAATTATATCAACGCTATGGTGTTTCTCAATGTACACTTTGTTGAAAAACTTGGCTTACTTCGCGCCGAGTTCGCACGGCGCTTTAGTGACTCTGAAGCACATGAATGTAATTTTGAGCAGTTTCCTAACCCATTTTTCATAGGCGTAGAAACTGCGTATATAAATTTGCAGATGGAGCTAAAAAAGCTGCTGTTTAATGAAACAGTAAAGTAAAAGTACGACACAGTTGGGCCTGCACAGTTCACTCGTTTCGTTCCTGAAGAGATGCCCCAGCTACTTCTAGATGCGACACGAACCTTGAGAAAGTTTGGTAGCAGATATATATGTGAGCAGCTGTTTTCTGTGATGAAATTTAATAGAACATCAGACAGAAGTTGTCTCACAGATCAACACTTACAGTCCATTATGAGAATCTTAATGAAACAGAACGTTACTTGTTTTGTCACTAAGAAAATGTGCTAAACATCCAGCTCTGAGAAATGGGCATAAGAACGAAAATCGGTATGCCAATGATTTTTAATTCTTAAAACTTTTTTTATGTTATCATGTATATAAAAAAAAATTAATTTTACGTTTATTTAATGACTATCCTGGTCGGCCGTAACCTCACATGTGATTTTAGTTTCGGCCCATCGAGCGATTGAGTTTGATACCCCCACTTTAAAGTGTTTGATATTAGCACTTAAGTCTCGGTGTTAATGAAATTATATGTGCAAGTCCATATATGTTTATTTACTGAAAAAATACCAATTAAAAATATTAGTAGCTTATTCGGGTAGTGTTTTGATTCTCATTTGGGATTACATATTTGATTATTATGTTTATTATATATACATAATGATAATTAACACATTTTATAATATGATGTATTATTACTCAGTTATACGCTCGTGGGTGTGTTATTTGAATTATGAATACATATGATAATCATATACTTAATTCTATGCTATAAAATAAACAATAAAAAAAAATATGATTGATATGATAGCAATAAATAATTGTAAGCTATTGGGTAGAGATTAAGCTCTCGTCCAAAAGAATTGCCATATGAATCTGGCATGTGATCTCAAATACTAAGGAATAAAAATAAGCAAGGCACATTGCATTGTAGTACTATTTTATTGATAACTTTATTCATACAAAGCTTCAATGGCCTCAACGTCGTCAGTGCGGCTTTTGAGAGCAAGACATACCATGTACTTGTTCCAGGATTTTGTCAGATTTTACCAAGGTGCTTCGCCGGGTGTTGTAAATCAGAAACCTGTAACCACACCTAAATTGATTATTTCCACCAAGGGAGTTTGGTCAGACCGATTCTGTTCACCCCACCGGAACGTGAGTCGGGAACGAATACCTGACAGGACCTGAACGCGCTTATTGCAGCAGCATCATGTCATTATAATATGCATTCTTTAAGTTTTAAATAGACGGATTTTATTGCTATCTCTTTATTATAAATGTGTTGATTCATTTTATATTAATTTTATTAAATATTAATATTCGTTGGCTAAAACACATCTTATATAATCATTTGAAGTTGATACAGATTAACATAAGTGCGTGTGACAGAGTGCAATTGTAGGTAAGTGTTAGTCGCTTGGTACTTAATTACTAAGATAATATATCTTCCATGTCGGGATAGTGTAAGTTAAGTGACAGACGTGTGTATACAAATAGATTTAGAACGCCCTGTAACAAGAGCGCGAATGCGTAAATAATACAGTACGCCACATTATTCAATCATAATAATTTATGGGCTTATGACATAAAACTAAAGAGAGTTAAGTTTAATCAATAATGTAATTAAATTCAATAAAAAAAACAATAAACTACTATAACTGGTGTGATAATAAATTACTATAACGGATATGATAATAAATTACTATACCAGGCGTGATGGTAAATCATTATAATAACATGCCTGATAATATATTACAATAAATGGCGTGATAATAAGTTATTCAAAATAGAGTGATTGTAAATTACAGACAACTGGTGTGATAATAAATTACTTTTACTGGTGTGATAATAAATCCCGTTACCTGGTGTGTAACATATAACTCTAACTGGTGTGATAACAAATTACTATAATTGGTTTGATAATAAATCACTAAAACTTGTGCGATAATAAATTAATTTAACTGGCGTGATAGTAAATTACTTTAACTGGTGTGCTAACAAATAACTATAACTGGTGTGATAACAAATTATTATAACTAATGTGATTATAAATTACCATAACTGGTGTGATAACTGATATGATAATAAATTACTTTTACTGGTGGGATAATAAGTTACTTTACATGGTGTGTAACATATAACTCTAACTGTCGTGATAACAAATTACTATAATTGGTTTGATAATAAATCCCTAAAACTGGTGTGATAATAAATTACTTTAACTGGCGTGATAGTAAATGACTTTAAATGCTGTTCTAACAAATAACTATAACTGGTCAGATAAAAAAGACATACTAACGTTTTGTCGGAACCCTAGTTTCTAGTTGATCATCAGTATAAGTTAATCCTATCTGTTAGGAAAGTTTACAATTAACACTTATTAGCATTTGATAAGTTAATTAGGAGTTTTCACATGTCAGCAGTATAATGCCAAAACAAAAACAAAAAAGTATTTTAAAGGTATCACCTTTTTAACACTCCTCTGTACAAATGTTATTTGGAAAAAAATGACGGTACTTTGTGATGTACAATCAGTATTATTTTTAAGACTTTTTCTGACATAAGGTATACAAATAAGTATACCAATCAAATTTCAAGTTATATATAGATACGTGCGGCACTAAGAAGTATATAAAAATACACTACCAGGAACGGACCCTGGGTGTGCCTGATCCAGTGCCTTAATTCGTGAACGCGAGTTTTTTTTTTTTTAGCAGGTTGGGTTCGGCAGTTGCATTGAATTATGCTAATAAAGGCTGAAACCTGTTTTGGCCCCCGTTAAAAAGTTCTCTTCCTCGAGGTTTAACTGCCCAATTTTGTGTGGACCAGTTATTTTTCTTGATAAGGATGCATTATAGTATATTTTATATCATTAAGAATTGTCCATGTTGCCTAATATCACGGTCACGAGGAAGCAATCAATAAATTATATTCTCTCATATTTCTTACCTTCCCAGTCCACGTATTTTGTAGTGTGTTCAGTGCCAAATACGTCATCATTTTAATCAAGTAAACAGTGGTGTGTGCAGTGAGACATGTGATGTAAAAGAGCAAATAGTTTCTTGACAGGGCCAAAAAATCAATACAATCCATAGAAATGCTTATTTGCTGTCATAGTTGAATACACTTTACTACGCGTCTTGATACGTGACGATCGACGCAGTCAAAGGGAGATCACACCAAGCCTTCTGTTGCTATTGATTAACACTTGTT